AAACCCCAAAACCCCAAAACCCCAAAACCCCAAAACCCCAAAACCCCATGAGCAATGTATAAAACCAGAGGAAATATTACTTAACAGATTATAATTACTGTCAATTAAGAAGACTAATTATCAGATAATATACAAAAATATGAGTGTTAGAAAGGGAAAGATTAAATAAAAACTTGAGCTAAAATTAATGATTAATCTTGAAACATAAAGGAAGATTCTCAGAATAAAGCAAACAGAAAGAGAATTCCAAAAACGGATGCAGCCATGAAGTTATTGACATATGTAGCCTAGGTACAGAGTCTTGGATTAGCTGTGCATCCAGCAGTAAGCTTGTTGGGAGAGTTTCCTGGTCCCCAGCATCCTACCATATATGGGTGGAACATTGTAGCAACATATCCGTAGAAGTCACCGAACATTCTTCCATTACAAACGTCAACATCGCATGGTTGCCATAGATTTCCGTCTTATCTATACGGCCCGTATATTACTCTACCATCCTTTGCAAATCCAATTGGTAATACGGTTTTGATTTATCTTGGAGCATATAATTATGCATGATCTATCACACTTGCATTGCATGATGGACTCAGAATGCATGGAACTGCCTCCTTTCTGAGAGAAATATCATACATACATGGAGAAAACATGACATATCTGTAGGTATTAAATGTGTTCTGTAATCCTAAGCAGTGGTCAAATTCATTCTTAACTGGGTTTTGATTTACACCGTAAGCCTAAGGGAAAAATGAGTCATATCCGTTTTCATTAGCACCTGAAAAGATAAACACACCGTTCCTTGAAATTCCAACAATCTAGTCTGAACTTGGAAGTCTAAGAAGTGGATATGCTCCTGTATTTATTGTCCAACTTTATTAAGATCCAAGAGCTTCAGTATTGGAAATTGCACCATCTATTATGGCAGTTCTGGCCCAATTTGGATCGCAAAGTGCAAGATCAATGTCAGCTTAAGATTCTACCGTTGTTTGATAATAAGCTTGATTAATTGTAAGACCAGTTGCTCCAGTAGTTTACCTTGGTGGCAAATTGAATTTAAATGAGAAGGAATAATACGAGAACTCGTTTCTTGATCCATATGGTTGATACTGAGTGCCCCAATAGCAGTGATTTGGTAATGAGTTTGTGTAAGCGGATATAGATGTTTGACCTTGATTTTCTGCACATTATAGACTATAGTACCTTTGCCATGAGCATGTTGTTCTTGAAACAGTATCTGGGCATACTCCTAAGTTGCTGCATGTAACCACTTCAAATCGTTGAGTTCCTCCATACGGATAAATATCATTGCTGGCTGAAAAGGTTGGATAATATGTTCCTTCGAAGCTGCGGATCATCATATTGCAATCTTTCAAGGAATCAGTTATTGGAGTGGCCTCATTTCTCGAAACTGTACTTTTAATTAGTCCCAAAGCAATTAAAGCAATAGCAGCTGACTTTGATATAAAGCGTTGGTTAGTTCTAAACGTAGACATTTCCCAATTAATTATATTTATTTTGTTTTATTTAATAAGTTATTCAATTTAAACAGCATATCTAATAATTACCACTCTTCATTATTGGTTCAATAATCGAAACAAGGGGTTTTGGGGTTTTGGGGTTTTGGGG